AATTAAATTTAATGAAATAATCTTGTAGTAATAAAACACTCACAACGGCTCATAAACATTAGTACTCTGCCAAATTAATTAAGTCGGGTTGGTTGGAAAATGCACGAACATTTTTGACACTACTTTAAGTGTTGTAGCGTTCCGAAAAACATCTTCGAATTTGACCACCAGTGAAATTGTCGATTGGAAAAAATTGTAAATTTTTTCTTCATTTTTAAGTTCTAAAATAGTGTTCTTTTTCGATTTGAGTAACGTGAAAATAAAACCAAGGACGAGATTTGAACAAAGCACTAGTTTTCTACAGTTTTAGGAAAGTAATCGACGAACAAATCGTGTTTTGGTCTTATAAACTATGTAGGTATTATTGGAAAAAATGAAACCAACTTCTGTCGCTGGAATTGGCTGACATCGATCATATTTATCACAGACATCTTTCTCAATTAAGATTATCAAATGTAAAATTGTTCAATAAAATATAATTTAATTTTTGAACAAGAATCATTTTAAAATTTGATTATTTTGACAAGATGGCCTCCGATTCTTCAACTAAATTTATTGAAAATGGTAAAATTGCAGGTAAACCACGATTTAGTATCAAAAACAGAAACACCCTGTTAAATAAACAACAAAGTAAAGGATGTTAACAATGTGGCCTGTTACATTAATTTACTGGTTTTTCCATTCATGCATTGTGACGCCAATAAAAAGTGGCTTATCAGGTCTGTATAGTAAAATAACGTTTTGTATGCAATATCAGTCAGTTATAATTTCACATTATTACGCAAATAGTCCACTAATATTCCTCAAAGTGATTTCAAGTTGACTGAAATATTATCTAACATCTTATCGAGTCACTCGAAGTGATATATTAATGTTAGGCTTTTGTTGCTATTGAGTATCACTCTATTGTTCCTAAGAAAGAAAGCTCTTAAAATAATAATATCTAATTATGGCTTGGAAGGTTTTCTAATTGCATTGGAGTGTAAATCGATTCAAATCGCCACTCAGGTTTAAATTATTTTTCAAATAATATCCTGCCAAGTGTCGCGCTGATGTCAATAGATTTATAAGCATACCATTGTTCCCCCTATATAACCCTATTGATATCTCACTGTTCACCTGATTATCAGTATGTGATTTTTCGTATCAAATGTTTGACGATTAATTGATCAAGTTAAGTATAAAATGATATTTCAAAAAGGCGCTTAAAAATATATCAATTTCAATTGAATGATAATTTGCACATTTTCGGAACATAATAGGGGATATATTCAAGTACGATTAAAACAGTTTGATTTCCTTCATTTTTTTTAAATTGAGAAAGTTGTAGATTAAGTATAAATAAAAGGTGTTCCAATAAGAATTATGGTTTTGAATTAGGCGCAATTTGTATGTCATGATTTGGCATTAAAAAAAGGCTGTTAATTAGTAGGCAGCAGCAGATTAAGTAAAATGTAGCGGTTCAATACACAACAACGAATTCTCATTGTGAAAAATTATTTTCAAAGTGGTGGAAATTTTCAAGCCACAGTTCGGAAAATGCGTACAATTATGGGCCATCGGAATGCTCTAACTGAAGCCACTTTGAGAAAACTAATGAAGAAATGTCAGCAACTTGGGTCTGTTAATGAAGTGAAAACACGCGGTCCTGGTCGCTCGACTGAAAATATCGCAGCAGTACGTGCAAATGTTGAGGAAAGCCCAACCACACCAATTCGGGATAGAGCTAAAGAAATTGGTGTTTCCGCAACCACTATGCATCGAATTTGAACAAAAGACTTGAAGCTTCATGCGGACAAGTTGAATTGGCTCAAGAGCTAAAACCGGGAGACCATGGGCAATGGAAGACCCTTGTGGATTGGATTTTGGAACAACGAGTGAACGAGTGGTGATTTTTCAACGAAAATCGTCTTTAGTGACCAGTCCCATTTTCATCTTGATGGCTTAGTTAGTCGACAAAATTGGCGCATTTGCGGTTCCGAAAATCCACGAGTGATCGTCCAGAAACAGATGCATCCAAAAAGAATCACTATTTGGTATGTATTGTGGGCTGGAGGCATCAGCGGACCATTTTTCTTCGAAAATGCAGTTGGTCAAGCATTAACCGTGAGTGCTGTTCATTATCGTGAAATGTTAACTAACTTTTTTGTGACAAAATTTCAAAATATAGATCTCAACAGTATGTGATTCCAACAGGACGGTGCAACATGCCATACAGCCAGAGAAACTGTTGCCTACAGCCATACTGCCTGGTCGTGTTATTTCTCGTTTCGGAGATCGTCATTGACCGCCCAGGTCATGCGATTTAACGCCTTTGTACTTTTTTCTTTGGGGTTTTTTAACGTCACAAACCAACAACGATTGAAGCCTAAAAGGTGAAATTCAACGCTTTATCCCTGAAATATCCCAAAATTTATGCGCTAAAATTTAAATCCGTCGTTCTTATTGGAACACCTTTTATTAGGACAACTTTTATGAGATATATCAAATTTAAAAATTATATTTATCGCAAATGGTTTTGATTGAACGCTTGATTTAGCTTTGATATTCTTTTAATAGAATCATGAACTGGAAATGATAATATTTGACTTTCTCAAAGTAATGGCTTTCAGATATGATACTTACAAGTAATCCATTTTTCAGTTTACGCTATATCATTTGATACGATTATTGTAGCGTATTTGTTCGCATAAGAGTAATATTTGAAGACTGATAAACCGGAGAATTAGTATATTATATCAACATAAAAGAACTTATTATCTTGGGTCAATAAAAGGTGTACATAATCTGAAAAGCGAGAAATAAGACACATCAACGACGATTTTGTTCATAAATAAACAAGGAAACACTTTATCAGTAGTATAAATTTTTGAATTGCTATTTGCTCAGGTTTCGTTTTGTCAACACACAAACAAAAAGGTATCACCTTTACAGCACGGACATTATTTTTCTAACAGTCTACACAATTGAGAGTTGTTTTCTGAAATAAACCGATAGAGATATGGTAGGTATGCTGAACTTCTCGAATATGGGTTTATTGCGTGGAGCATTAACACCGTTTTAGTTTTAAAGAAATACGTGGGGTGATTGCACAAAATATACAGGGTGACTGAGCCAGAAAAACTTTATTTATCTTCCTGTAATTTAATTTTTAATTATTGGATTTAAATCAAAATATTTCATATAGAACGAGATGTCGTCAAATCGTCCTCATATATTTTGCTCAGTGATTTCGGTTTTGAGTGGAAACCTGAAATTTTATTTCATTATTTCTTCTTTTACTTTCATGTTTCTTATAAGCTTTTTTGTACCACAACGGATAGTTTTACTGACTACTATCACTTCGATAATAGAAGCTATGTTTTCGATACGTTTTAATTCTTGCTCATTATTATTATTATTTATTATTTCAATAATGCACGATAAAAAAGACAACTCCTAGTTTAACGAATGTCTTTTGTTGTCAACTACCGTGAAAGATTTTATATTAAATAATCTACGGAAATAAACTAAGTATTTTAAAAAATATTACTTTTATTTGCATTTTCCTGATCTTTAATTTCTATGAATCGAAATAGTTTCAAATTAGCCAATAGGAAGTTGATCTGCGAAAAACTGTTACATATTTCGTCATGTACGTGATTTGACTTCTGGTCTTTTCGAATAAATGAACCGCAAATAATAATCAGAAGAATTTTTTATTTTTTATGAATTCGTTACTTGGTCTCCGCGAGTAACGAGTACTGGGATAATAAACCAGTCAGATTAGATTTTAAAAGGTCTGTTTTGAGCACTAAATAGATTAAGGTAAAATATCATCATCAAGTTGTTCGGAAGGATGTCAGAATATTAGGACATTAGTTTGAGCGCGATTTCCGGCTATGAAACATTGTTTAAGTAATTAAAGAGAGTGCGAAAAACCGTTTTTTGCGCATAACTTTTGAACCGTTGATGCTATTATATGCTATTAAAAATACCTACAATATAAGACAAACTAAATTAAAATCCGTGCATCTGTTTACTCAAAACCACTGATTTAAGCTTTTTTTTTTAATTTTCTATAATTAATTTAGTTTTGCTTCAAAAAAATAGAACTATAACTTTTTTGAGGCCTTTCTACACTTTATAAGTGGTATAACTTTTAAGCTAAAATTTAATTAATTATGGAAAATTTTAAAAACCATACAATCGGCGGTTTTTTTAAATCCTTCCAAACAACTTCGAATAATCTTTTACCTTCACCTATTTAGTACCTGGAAAAAAATCTAATCCGACTGGACCATAAGGAATAGTTACGTTTTCAACATTTTTACAGCCAATTGTAGGTACAGCCAATTGTATTGTGGTTCTGTTTCATAGTTCGTCATTGGTGACGATTTTTATGTTAAGGAAATCGTTTTACCTGTGCGAAGGTAAAAACAAAATATTATTTCAGAAATAGTCGACCTCTTTGTGCAGTGTAGGTCAGTAGAATTAAGGCATGTTTTCTTTATTTTGAAAATATTCCAAGTTTCATAGGCTACGTAGCGACTTAGATTGGCTAAAAAAAGTTAAGTGAGCAACTACGGAACCAATAAATCTACGTGTCATCAGATTTCTAAATACGATCATCGCTATTTTGTTAAACGACCACCACAAATTGCAATTTGTTTCAAGATTTCTTGCACTTTATTTGTATTTTCAATGAAAAACCCTATTTTTTATTAAGGAAATCCTACGTAATGCTAGGGCCAGTAAAATTTCCCAGCATCCTTTTGAGTGGTGCCATTCCCATAAGTATTTGGCAATGCGCGGCGCATCGCGACTCTCATCTCAATAAACAGAGATTTAAAATGATTCACTACAAAGCAGGTCGTCTGTTTTACAAAAGATAACAGCTCGCGCTTCAGAATGGGGCTTTATGCATCCCATTATGGGGACTTACTGAGCGGATTAGACGGGGCATATTAATAAAGTCATAATGCTGTGTTATGGGGACGGCGCGATCTAAATACTTTATGTGCCCGAAGGATTAGGACTGTAAACAATGCATTTGATTTATTGTGCATACATTATCTTTCAACAAATATATAAGTCGTTTGGGTGCATCGTTTGGCGCCACTTACTATTTGCCCCAAAACCCATTTCTCCACATTTGCGTTATCGCATTACTTTTTTATCGCAGGAACAGTGCATGCCATTCAATAGCTAGCTGGAATAAAATCGTTTTTTGTTCAGCTTTAATTTGCTGTTTACTTACTGGAAACCAATATTGTGCAGGTATCTCTAATAAGCAAAGTTTGGATAGATTGTTTCTTGTTCTAGAACAAAKGAATCTAAACTTGCCTAAAAAATACTGTCAATGGGACACCGAATTTTATACTCTGAGTTGGACGCAATAATACTCAAATAAACCCAAATCTGGTTTTTAAATTAATAATTCAAATACCCTCCTTGACTTTATTTCCTTTTAGTGCAAATTTACTAATTAATTTAATAATTTTTAAGTATTTCAAAGTTAAGGTAGATAACATTCGGTTTCCTAATAGTAATACAGCAAGCCCTTATTATATTAATTAAAAAGTCGCATATGGGACGTTTTCCGAGCACATTAAGTTACCCAGGAATCTTAGATAAGACACCCTGTATTTTATAGTGGTGGGATAAAGCCAAAGCCAAAGTCTAACCAATCCTCTGCCGAAAGGTACCTGTTTTTCAACCCTGCTTTGAACCAATTCCAATTTATAGCCAAAAATCTACACTTTCATACAATAATCAATTTGCCTAGTTACACGTTAGTAGATTTATTAAGCGACTAGTCTCTATATCCACCTAAGTGAAATTGTGTTGAATTGTTATTTTTATATATTCTTTTGAAACTGTATATATTTTCATATTATACATGTTCTAATTTTCATATTACTAGATGAGCGTAATAAGTCCCATGGCTAATAGGATAGGGAAAAAAAAATTTGCAAATTGTAACAACGAATAATAACTATGGAACAGTTTCAATTAAATGTGCCCTTGATGTTTCAGTTTTTTGAGTCAGTTTTCGTTAGATTTCATAATAGAGAGATGTGGAATAATTATTTTTGTGATAATAGTTTGATTAAGATACAAATTTTCAAAAAGAGATTTTCAGTAAAATTGAAAATTGAGTGTTAATCATTTTCGCTTCATGCTTCATGTAAAGCCATCATATTATATATCTATTACATTTTAAACATAAACTTTTGCCACAGTTTCTAAATGATATAGAAAACAAGAGGGTAAGACACTGAAATTACGGGCTGGGACTATTTCGTTGAATTGACAAATTAATAAAGAACGTGAAAACAATTAAGGTATAATATAATAAAGCAATTTTATCCAAACTATATTTCCTTAGTAGTTAAGGCTTTTTCATTGGCATATTTTATGAGGCCATCCTTCTGTTGGTGGCTCCAAACACATTTCTTACGCCGATAGGAACTAAAAGTGGAAGATTGATACAAAAACGTTATCACATCATATCGGATTTAACAGAAAATTTATTTTACGAAGATTGCATGTGACGCACTGTGTACATTTTACAGGATGTAAGAAAGAAACCTTTATGACAGATAATTGATTGTTTGCCAATTTGACTCCGAAACATTAAGTAAGTTCAAACAATAAAACGCTTTTAGCAAATATTTATTTAAAATTATATTTTTAGATTCTTTAAATGTTTTTATCAATTTTCTGCTATGTACGTTAATATAACTATTCCCTCAAATAATATGTAGCAAACAAAGCATTATTTTAGATAAAAACCAAAGTTTGACGTTCTTTTGAACTGCAGATAAAGCTCTTCAATCTGCTGATCTTAATATATTAGGTTGCAGGATTTTTCTCAAAACTGTGTAATTTATTTGAAGCTAAAATAATTACTTTATAAATAAAAACTCAAATTAAGAAATGAATGCTACTGAATTCGCAACTAACAGAGCTGTTCCCTGATGGACTCTCACTGCACTTAATCCCATTAATATACTAGTTTAAAAATAATGTTACGAGTTCCTAAAACAAACAACATGCGTCAGCCATATTTTATGAATGTTGTGCATGCATCCTATAAAAGAGGGGTCATCAACTTAAATCTAGCATCATCTTTTTGTTTGATGATAGGTGATTATGGTTGATACATTTTAAATCTCATCAAGTGGCACTGAAACGTTTTTCTGAATTCCACTGCACAGTTTTTTACTTAATCATATATATGTTTTGTTAACAAAGATCAACATAGCGATTAAAAATATCAAATATTCCTATCCTTCTCTATCTCTAAACTTTCTCGAAACTCTAATTTTCCTTCTAATGTCGGAATGTAAATAGACGATCTAATCGTAAGTAGAAACAAAAGGAAGTGGCGCGTGAAAGGAGCATTGTAACCGAAAGGATCCGAGACAGAGCTCCAGTTAGACAATCTCTCATCGTGAATAGGATCACAGGAGGTGCTCACTGTGTCCTCACAATGACAGCATTATCTTTTGTCGCCAGCTGAATATGTCGGCTTAGATAGACCATTGTGTTTCCTCGCCGCTATTCTCTGTTATATAACTTTACGTATCGATATCTAAAATTAACATTAAATATATTTTTTGCCTTTGTAATGAGTTATAGAGACATCTATATGGTTTTATTGTTTCAGAGCTCTACACATGAAAGAACATCCAGATTATAAGTATCGTCCACGTCGAAAGCCAAAGCCGCTCATGAAGAAAGAACCGAAGTTCGGTTTTTCCATGTCCCCATTATTACCACCGACCATGGAAAATCATAATCTGCAACGAACCCTGATGACTCCAATATCAACATCATCAGGTGTGACATCCCTTTTGAATCCTGACTCGGACCATTTAAAATTATCGCGAAGTTTATTTCCGCCTTTGCCATACTTGTATCATCCTTTCCGGCATCCGGATGAATCCAAATTCGCAGCGGAACTGGCTCTGTTATATAGTAATAACCCATTGTACCCTCCGAATATTAATTGGCATATAAACAATATTGCCAGTCAGAATTTAAATGGTTCAAACCCGTGCAACATGTGTCCTCCGACATTTTCGCGAAGATCACCCAGTCCAGAGCAGCTAAAGCGACCAGTTTGCGTTATAATGAAAAACGAGGAGTTTCGAAATGAGCCCGCACATGTTATATGAAAACCACTTCCGGTTCTGCCGGATCGGCTGAACCATTGGTTTAGTGATATTGCCAGTTTGGCAACGAGTTCAAGTACTGTATCTTCTACAGCTACTTCCGCTATTAACTTGATGGAGTATAGAGATAATGGGGATTCTGGGAGAGATAGCAGTAGCCCCTGCAATCAGTAAACTCAAAAGTTTGTATTAAATTTTTAAATACATATATCTCCATTTTTCGATCAATTGAAACATTGATAACCAATTCTATGTTACAACCGTAAACAGCCAAAATAGCAGATTTCTTTCTTAAGTTTGCGTAGGGGTGATACAAACTTGATAATCAACGCAAACAATTCCAATGATGATGATTTCATCTAATTTAATTGAAAATGTTGTGCTCTCTAAACCTACATGGTTTTGCCAAAATATATCTTGCGCCAGAAAATCCTAAATATCTTTAAACAATCTTCATATATTGACAAAAACATCCACAAATCTTCATTGTTGAACATTTCTCAATTGATCAAGAAACTGAAATAACTCTCTCTGAGTTATTTCTCTGTTGTACTCTGTAATCTATGTACTGAGGTACTCGAGACCCGAGTAACAACTCTGTTCTGAGTGTCTAATACATAAGCATCTTTAATACTTCTATCTGGTTAAAAATCAATTTCCCAACTTTTACAATTAAAGTTCATTGGTAGAACTTATTATGAAACATGTAAATATTGTTAATTACGCTAAGTTAATGATAAAAATTTTGGTTATTTATATTAAATCAATCAAAGGCTATATACTAAAGAATTAGTGCAATTATCTGTTGATTTTGATTCGTTTTAGAACCGCAATTTTTGTAAAAACGTTTTTGTTTACTTCCTAAAAACATATTTGTTAATAAATATATTCAGTTCAAAGCGTCGTTTGGTATGTATTATCTTATTTCACAATAACCCATGAAATGTGCAATAATCATTTTGTTACATTTTAATTCTACAATCAAACCAAAAAATTATCATCAGCAAAGCCGGGAAAATTCACTTGAATTTGATGTGAAGAGGTAAGTGAGCATAAGAAATATGTAATTTTGTAATGATCTTACTAATTCCGCGGTATTTGAAGTAATTAATTTAAAATTATTTTGTTAAACCATAAACGTGCTTGAGCAAATCGTATTTATAGCACGAATATTTATGAGCAATACGTTCAATTCGAAACACTTCCCATAACTTTGAGCTTTTATTTTGTATTTCGAATTTAAATTAGGTCGGTCTCATCAACAAAATGTTTTTGTCATTTTCAACCTTTTGATTCATTCATAGGCGTCACATATATTGTGTGAATGTACACATATATATGTACAAAATCTAGTACCTAAAGACGGAAACTAGCTGGATGAATGGTGGATGTGTATTTCCAGAAAATGCTTCTATAGGGTGTTCGAATAAGAACGACGGTTTTGAATTGCGCGCTATTTGTAGTGCCAAAATTAGACATTAAACAAAGGCCGTTCGTTAGTAGACAGCATTAAGTTGAGTAAAATGGAGCGGTTCAATACACAACAACGAATTCTCATTGTGAAAAATTATTAGCAAAGTGGTGGAAGTTTTGGGGCCATAGTTCGCAAAATCCGTACAATTATGAGCCATCGGAAGACACCAATTATTGCCACTGTGAGAAAATTAATGGAAAAATTTTAGTAAACTGGGTTTGCTAATGAAGTGAAAACAGTAACACGTGTTCGTCCTGGTCGCTCGACTGAAAATATCGCTGCAGTACGTGCAAATGTTGAGGAAAGCTCAACCACATCAATTCGGCATAGAGCTCAGAAAATTAGGGTTTTCACAACCACTATGCATCGAATTTTAATAAGATTTGAAGCTTCATGAGTACAAAGTTGAATTTGCTCAAGAGCTAATGCCGGAATACCATTGTGGTATTAGTTAGTTATATTACACCTTTGTGATTGGATTTTGGAACAACGAGAATTGGACGGTGATTTTTCCACGAAAATCCTCTTTAGTGACGAGGCCCGTTTTCATCTTGATGGCTTCGTTAATCGACAAAAATGTCGCATTTGGGTTTCCGAAATCCACGAGCGATCATTCCGAATATCCACGAGTCACTGTTTGGTATGCATTGTGGGCTGGAGGCATCATCGGACCATTTTTATTCGAAAATGCAGTTGGTCAAGCATTAACCGTGAGTGCTGTTCGTTACCTTGAAATGTTAACTAACTTTTTTGTGCCGAAATTGCAAAATCTGGATCTCAACAGCATGTGGCTTCAACAAGACAGTGCCACATGCCATGCAGTCAGAGAAACTGTTGAATTACTGCACGAGTCATTTCCTGATCGCGTTATTTCTTGTTTTGAAGATCGGCATTGGCCGCCCAGATCAAACGATTTATTAACGTCTTTGGACTTTTTTTGGGATTTTTTAAAGTCACAAGTTTATGTGAACAAACCAACAACAATGAAATTCAAAGCTGTATCTCTGAAATATCGCCAAATTTATGCGCAACAGTCCTTAAAAAATTAATGAAAAGAACACGTCTGTGCCAGCAAAGCCGAGGCGGTCATTTGTCCGGTCATGTGTACTTCATTTTTCAATAAATATCTCATGCCACAAATACATATGTTTTATTTAAAATTTAATTCAGTGGTTCTTATTGGAACACCCCTTACATATACCGAGTGTTAGCGTTACAAATTGTATTATGCACCCAAGCTTCCATCTTCTTCTTCCGTTTTGAATTGTGCTGCCATCGATGCGGTCGAAGAGGGATGCTTGGAACACGCTCGTGGCTTACGCCATTTTTTCACTCATTGCATTACATCTTTAACCGCCAAGTGTAACACACGTTTTTTTCTTTTGGCTCTATACTGAATCAGTGGCTTCACAAAAATTTATAGTTTAAATATACAGGGTGATTCAAAATTGGCGTCATTCCTTTTAAGGGGTGATAGGGAAGTACGAGAAAAATATTGACATTTTTTTTTCCAAAATTTCTAGAAGATATTAACAGTTGAAGATCGAATTTCAACTTTGTTATTAAGCATTATTTTGAAATTGTTCCATGTTTAATTCGTAGCATATTGGAATACTTAAGCAYTCAAAWAGAAWAATTACCATCTTTGCTTCAAATTACGAAAATTTTTGATATCAAAAAAGTTCYCTTCTAGAATTTTTTGATAAAAARGCACAGCGGCAATGATGTTTTTTGTTATTAACAGATAGTTACAGGTGGATAGCTCCCGTCAATAATAATAATAATTTGTCAAACTGTGATTTACTTTGAATTTCCTTTCACGAATTTGCGGATACGCGATTAGTTCAGGGGAAATGCTACAGTAACATGGCAGAAGCTGAAGGAACTCACGCCAACAAAGGGCGAGGAGAGTGGTTCCAGGAAGATAGTGGACSATAGATGTTCGRGTTCCAGRCACAGAGGAATTGGAGCACAATTGCACTCCGAGCACAATAACTGACACTTTCCCAAGCACCAAATAAGTACCGAGGAAGGGCTACGTCCCTACCACGTTTGTACGATACACACAGCACAAGGAGATACAAATGGAGCTGGAGTTAATTAACTGAATACGAGAAGCTGCTTGATCAGAGTGGATAATAAGGAGATTACACAGGCACTAGCTTGTTTGGAGTTAACCATTCAAATGTTTGGTGTTGTAGGGTTTATTTTTAAACACACTGAGGTTATTAGAACGGGTTGACATTTCGTCAACAAATCTTGTTCAATTTACCGTTTATCCTTGCCTATCTTATTATCAGTCTGTATAATTCCATGGTTACCGGAGTTTTAAATAATTACGAAGCCACAGGTATTTGCGCAATGTTAATTAGGCAGATTACCTTGAAAAACATTGTTTTTTTTTTCTCAGTTTTTAATAACAATTAATTTCTTTTACTATTTTTCAGTACTCCTATAACAGCGCCAGACAACCCCTCCAGAGGAATGACGCCAATTTTGAATCACCCTGTATTAGAAAGCAAGCCACGGTGTTTCTCTATTTTTACACAAGCGTATCTTCACCCTAGACAGCTTTTTTCTGGGGCAAACAGGATGAATATGCACAACACAGAGTGCAAGGTAAAGGTTTTGAACCTGATTTCGCATATGATGGATAATGTAATAGGAACACATGCGAACACAAACTGTTCCTTTTGTATTGATTTCTTCGATGGATTTTATTTGCGCTTGAAAATACTAATTCACATTTCATACATGTGATTAACTTTTTCTGCTAGCTGAATTGATTGCAACCTAAACATTCCTAAAACTTGAGAATTTTTTATTATGCCACTAATCTAATTGCTTCTTCTAATCCTATTTGATTCATAACGGCACTTTTCTGTTATTTTGTTAGTAATTATTAATTAATAATAGTAGTGAATTAATACTTGTCCTCCAATTTTGTCGACATTATGTGTATTTTCTTAATGAAGCGTACTGAGTACTCAGTACCTACTATATACAGGGTGGTCTTGTCCAAGAGCGGAAACTTTATGGAATGATGGATTTGCAGTTCCGGAAAATGTTTTATACTTCAATGCACTTTTCACTATTTGCTTTGTTATGAATTAGGCTCAATTTTTTGCTGTTGATTAGGTTAGACGAGTTAGAAAGGCTCGCAATTTTCCCAAAGTAAATTTATTGTTATTTTAAGGCTGTCTACAAAATTGAATGTTCTTCAATATAGAGTATACTTGTGGACTCACATTTTGAATTGTTAGAAAACTGTTGGTTTTCACTCCTTAATTAATTTTTGCTTTTGCTCATTTTCAATGTGCTGAACAGACTTTTCTGTTGCTTTTTTGGTTGTCGTTTGTGTCTCTAGCATTTGCGAGTTTAACTACTCTAATTTACATCGTTTTTGAGATTTCTCATCATATTTAATCTGAACTTTAGTTATGACTTATAGTTTGTTAGATCTTTTTCATTCAAAACTAATTGATGAAATTGACAACCTGATGAACACAATTAACTGGAATACTTAGGATATTTCAGACAAGCGAAACGAAGGAGGATACCATATATTACAGATAATTCAGTTAAAATAATTTTAAACATCCTTGCATAATGGGGAGCCGGAAGACGCAGCATATGTGGTTCAATAATTATCAGGATAAGGTTCAACGAAACATATTAAGCACTCTGTCGCATTGCCACAAAATCAAAATCGCTATGGTGCAAAAACCGACATTTGCCACGGATCGACACCTTAAGAAAAATATATGAAGGGATGCATGCAAAATCTGGTGTTAAATTAACCGTTTGCAAGGCGTACAATAATTTATCAAACACTCTTTGTATACAAGAAAACGATTTTGTAAGGAATTAGTAGTTCTCAATAACGTTTTCTGTAACAAGCAATTTTACAATTTCTTGCGTTCTCATAAATATATGTGAGATTCAGTGAAACGCTCTAATGAAATGTACTATTTAATTCCAAACGTAAACAATAAAGTTCGCTCGCCAACAATCCAGACCAAAAAATATATAATAGACCAGCCCTAGATCAATAAATAGCTAATCTTATCCCTCAATAGTTTGGCAGAAATATAATAGCCTGCCCCCGAGATCTTTAACACAAATATTGAAAAACCTCTTATTGAGTGCAAAGAATGAATCAACAGGGTCCATCCGGTCCAATAATGCTCGGGTCTTGTGTCCAGTGTCAATAAGCCGGTGTCTTTATCAAATACCCGCGGGTTGTTCATTTGTTCTTTAAAAATAAAGTATGTTTTTTTTAGAAGTGTGTTTGCGGAATCGTATTATTAATGTCACAGTAGGATAGTCATTTTGATTTTTCTTGAACACGTTTTATTATTCCCGGTTTATTTTTCCCATCCTATTCTTCCATCCACTCTTTAAAGAAATGTTACAAATAACTAC